ATTGGGTCCTTTTCTCCAATCAGGAATGAAAAACAGAGAGCCTAAACTCTCTTCAACATGACTGTATTTTCAGTGCGCAGACAGCTTTCAGGGGCCCACCTGTCAGAGCCAGGTTATACATCTCCAGTTCCTTCCTTTAACCCTTGGCCATTTATCATAGTTTTCCTTCCATCCCCATCTGGGCCCACTGGGTAGATGATATTTCATTTTATCTTTTCCTCTTGTATATTATGCACTTATAGTTAAAGAGGAAACTCCTTCCATGTGGAACATGACCATGACAGTATAATGAGGAATTATTATTAATACTTGTTAATATATCCCATATGATCAAAAAAGAACCACTGACCATAACTTTTTAGGTTGGGAAATCTGGTGCTACTCAGCATCACTGTACAGTTTTAACAAGTTAACAACAGGAAAGAAAGATGATTTCATGCTCAGGAACTCATCATGGCTACATTTTACACACATTACAGGGGGATAAAACCCTGACGTTTGGAATGGGATTTTGTTTTCCTTTATGCAGCGCAATTTGTGCCTGAGACTTAATGCTATGTGAGAGATGCTGAGAACACAGCCATTTTCTACACTTCCAGAAAATAGTATGTCAGGCTCTTAGTGAAAAAAATTGCTCTATTGCCTTCATGAAAAATTGATTTGTTGTATTTTATGATTAGTTTTTACATGCACAGATAGGATACAAGAACAATGTGTAATTGGGATTATTGCAGGGGTCTCATTTCGAGAACTTCTATGCTTTTGGTCCGTTTTGAGAGATGGCTCATGCCTTGCAAAACATTTTTAAACAACAGAAGGAATTTTGTTGTTTGGTTGTTTATGGTAAACTCAAGAAAGATGAGATTCTGTAAGTCTGGGAAATGAGAGTCGAAAATAAATGCCTCTCTTAGAGGAGACATCCTGCACATGCTAGCTATTAAGTTTATTTTCATTGTAGCATAAAGAAAGATATTTTTATATACCGCTTAAAAAAGGACCACTTAAGATATATTCTGAATCATAACAGATAATCTTCACATCTTTTGCATAATCTTTCTGAAGCTTTTAAGTGTTGATAATTGTTATTTGGTACTGTTTAAGCATTGCGTTTTTCTAAAATAACCACTCAGCCTTAGGCAGTAAGAAATGAGGAAGATGAGGCCAAAGAAATACGCAGCAATAGCAGAAAGGGAAGCAAATGGAGTATTTTGAAGGACTGAAGAATTAAGGACTATAGAGTTACGGAACCAGCTAAATCTGAATGCTTCATTAGTCAACAGTTTTTAAATTTAAATGAATACTTGACCAGGTACTGGGCAAGGTGCGAGATACAATAATGAATAATGAATATGTTCATGCAGTTTACAGCCTAGTGGGGAAGACAGACATTGAACAAATAAATTATGTAAAACATTAATAATTGTAATACATGATATGAATGGACTTTAGATATCTGACAAGCATGAAAACCTGGGCTTTAATCGAATCTGGTGACACCAACCTTCTTTTGAACAATTAGACTTAAACAGAGAAGAGGGGCCCGCAAGGGGAGAGGACAGGCACGTGGAGAAGGAGCTTTCTTCCAGCCGGAAAGAAAAATGTCCATGAAAGCCTTCAGACCAGTTCAGCAGATTCAGGGAAAAGTGTCCAGAACACATAGAAAAATCTCTAAAAGACACATAAAGGGAGGTGGTAGGGATAGGCAGGGGCCAGATTACCCAGGGCCCTGCAGGCTATGCAAGGCTTTGCTTTTAAAACAAGAGCAGTCAATGAAGATTTTTAAGTGTGTAACACAGTTTACACCTTCAAATTTAAAATAGTTTGCCTATTATAGATTGAAAGGAGAGGAGACTTACTTTTGGTATTGTTAATTCTTTCTCTGTTGAGCATCCTTGGGTATCTTTAGGTTATCTGAGCCTTGGTATGCACATTGGCAAAATTGAGGGAAGAAATTAGATAATTTTGAAGATATCACAGTTCCTTAAGTGTGTGACCTGAATTACCCCAACATTCTTACTTTCTTCCTGTGCCTTGGCAAATTTGATTTCCTTTAGCTGTTAGCAATAACTCCTATGCCAGCTCTTAAGATAATTTGCTTTCTGAGAACCATGTCTCAGAAGTATGAATGTCAAATACAGTTATGAATTGGAAAGGAGCAAACAAAATGATCACTTATACAGATGGTTGTCTCTCTAGAAATTCTAAGCATCACTTGAAAAACAGTAAGATCTAAAAAGAGAGCTCAGAAAGAGGCTAGGTACAATAAATCTTCAAATAACCAGTGAAAAACAGAAAAAGCAATTTATAAGAAAATACATCTGTGGTGAGTTGAATGGTGGCCCCTTAAAAGATACGACCACCGTGAACTTGTGGCTATGACTTTATTGGGAAAAAGTGTCTTTATAGATAGATCTTCAGATGAGCTATCCCTGTGCAAGCCTTAAATTCAATGACAAATGTCCTTACAAGAGACAGAAGAGAAGACGTGAATAGAAAGGTGAGGGGTGGGGGGTCAGTAGGCATGGAAAACAGAGAGATTGGGGTGATGCAGCCATTAGCCAAGGGACACTGGAACTACCAGAAGCTGGAAGAGATGAGGGAGGCCTCTTCTCTAGATGCTGGAGGGAGCACGTTCCTATTGACACCTCGATTTTGGACTCCTGGTTTCCAGAATAAATTTCTGTCATTTCCAGTTACCAAGACATGGTAGTCTGTTGCACCATCTGCAGGAAAATAATACAGTATTCAAATCCTGGTGAAGAGGGAAGCTCCCTTTGAGCATGGACTATCTGGTTGCTATTTCTTCGTTGCAGGGACTGAGTGAACCAGTGTGCAGCCAAGATAATTCTTTTCCAAAAACCTGATGCAAGTGGCTCTGGGTTATAGGATAGTTAACAGTAAGCTCAAATAAAGAAAACCACTTTCCAAATTCGAGCTCATTCTTTCATAGCCATGGTACAGCCCTTGACTTTGGAATCTCTGGGCTCTTCTGCAGTTCATATCATTTCAGTTCCTATGAGGGCTTCTGAGAGGGGAGAAACTGTATATTATCAAAACTGAGTAGTATAATTTGTGTGGGTGTCTAAACAAAGAACTTGGAATTAGAAGACTTCCTTTGGGGTCCTCCCTCTTGAATGAAGTTGCTTTTTTTTTTTTTGAGAGGGCATCTCTCATCTTTATTGATCATATGGTTGTTAACAACAATAAAATTCTGTATAGGGGACTCAATGCACAATCATTAATTAACCCCAAGCCTAATTCTCAACAGTCTCCAATCTTCTGAAGCATAACGAACAAGTTCTTACATGGTGAACAAGGTCTTACATAGTGAATAAGCTCTTACATGGTGAACAGTGCAAGG